GCAAGGTTTGGGTGCTCTTTTTGACCCAGAAAGACATTACATAGCATGTTGATTTTAAGGATTATGGGAAGTATTCCAAAAGATCATGTAATGCACTCCAGCTGCTGACATCTGTTTGCTCTGTTCAAGCCAGTGTAGAACCAACCCTAAGCAAAATGCTCTGAAATGTGTAGAACTAGCACACTTCTGGTCCCATCAGACAATGTAGGAGCAATACCCTAACACCTTTTTGAGCAAAGTCCTATTTGGCTTGTTTTTCATAATTGTGAAGTGAGACTTTTTTACCAGAGTCTAAACTCAGAAGTAGAAAGTGTTTCAATTTGTAAAGGTTCTCTGTTTCAGTCAGTGAAACAGACACATCAGGATTATTAGGTTTTCTGAACAGATCAACAGTAAAAACCAATGCACCTAGAGAAAGCCAGAAAGTAATCCACAATCTTACAAAGGTGAGCTGAAGCTCTGCTGACAAAGAAGAAACTCTTAGCATTTCTGTCAATGAACATGCACGTCTACTTGTAGAAAATTTTCAAGGACTCAAACACAGAGGGTTACCACTAAAGGAATTGGTATTTTTTGACTAAGGAGCCTTAACTAGTTGAGGGGAGAGGGCAGAGACTGTGACTGCCATAGGCATAGATGCATCTGAAATTACTTTTCACCAATTATTCTTATTATAAAGGAATATCTGTATCTGATTTCCCAATGGGACTATTTATTGATCTTTTTGGCATACATAAAGGTCACCTCATTTGCAAGAAGTGAGATGTGTGACTTTTTCATTTAAAACTGTATATAGTCTGAAACAGTGGCATTCCAAAGAACCACAAATACTACTTGTGCAAGCCACAGTTTAGTGATTAGGGCCTTTTTACACAATTTATAATGGCTAAAGTATTTTAAAATTACTACATTAAAAAAAATCACACTTTCTTTTTTCTAGAGTCTATTCAGATATAACCTATCGTAGATTAGTATCAACTCACTTATTTTACAGGGAATTCGTTCAACATGTCTCTGAGGAGAGATGATTTGCAGCACCTGAAAAAGCAAGGACTAGATGAAGGCAGGTCATGCCAAACCACTGGCACTGCATCAAGATCAGGATAAAGGGATTAGAGATGGTACCACAGACAGGGATGCACATTACATTACTTTTTAACTTGTCCTAGGCATCAGGAGGGATTGCCACTGTTGGGCTATCTCTACAGAAAGGCAGCATTAGAGAGAGTTATTCTGCTGACATGAGATGTTACCTATAGAAAGTGGGACTGATGTGTTCCAATCCTAACGCAGTCTTTGAAGGTAGGTCTCATATGCTTCCAAGCAGACTGTCATGAAAAAGCTGAGCACTTCTTCTGAGAAAGGACAGCTGCTGGATCAGGCCTGTGGGGTTCTTATAAAAGGGGGGCTGAATTAAACAATTTAATCAGATATAGCTCTGTACTGAGCTATTTATATTGAGCATGTCACAGACATCTGCAATGATTTCAGGGGTGAGCTAGATTTTAAAAACCACTTAAATAATATACTGGACCTACTGTTCAGGCACTGCAGTGCTAAGAAGCACAGCATGTAGATATTTTGGTCTGCACTGCTATCTAATTAGTCTTTTGAGAGTGAGATACCTTGCAGCAAGGAAGATGGTCAGGATCCACAGGAGAGATTTGTAGCTTTTAGCTATCCAGTAGGAAATACTGGGGTAAGATTCTCATAGGACCTGACAACTCCAGCTCAGGGGTAGTGCTTTCCTCCACCAGAGTTCCCAGCTATAGAGGCAGCTTGAACTTTCATTTATCATTGCGAAAGAAAAGCTGATAAACCCAGTAGGATAACAATTATTACAAACACCTGAGAAGGCAGGAAACCTTTGTTTAAACATCTACTTTACATAACTTAGAGTGGGGGTTCCAACACACACAGATCTCTTACTTTCTAGTCAAATACATTAATAGTTTGGCTGCAGGGTATTTAAGGGTTTTGTCAATCTCACCTCTTGAAACTGTTCTGCCTTCTGTAAAACACTTGTATGGTAATGGCAGCAAGTGACACACCAAAGGACATATGGAAACATATGCTGTGCCCCATGCCACTGCCCGGAATATTATTCTGGGCCTTGAAAAGCAAGTCTTGTGGCGACACAGCTCCCCAGACAGAATTGAGTCAGACAACAGGACTCATTTCTGAAACAGTCTCATAGACACTTGGGCCAAAGAACATGGCATTGAGTGGGTGTACCACATCCCTTACCATGCACCAGCTTCTGAGAAGATCGAACGATACAATGGACTGCTAAAGACTACACTGAAAGCAATGGGGGGTGGAACTTTTTGAAAAAACTGGGATACACATTTAGCAAAAGCCCCTTGGCTAGTCAACACGAGAGGATCTACCAATGGGGCTGGTCCTGCCCAGTCAGAACTTTTACGTACCGTAGATGGGGATAAAGTCCCTGTGGTGTATATCAACAATATGTTGGGGAAGACAGTCTGGGTTACTCCTGCCTCGGGTAAAGGTAAACACATTCGTGGGATTGCTTTCACTCAATTACCTGGGTGCACTTGGTGGGTAATGCAGAAGGACAGCGAGGTTCGATGTGTACCTCAAGGGGATTTGATGATGGGTGAAAGTGGCTGATAAAGTGAATTGTACAGTGCTAATTTCACAGCTCCCATGTATACTTAGGAGATCATCTTGTTATACAAAGTTCTGTAATCTTATGGACTTTTCTATAAAATTTACTCTTTCAATGCCTCAATCTCTTCTTCAGCTTTACAGCAAATAATTTTTTCTTCCAGGGTTCTGCTGGTCAGAGTTCTCCAGTAAAAGAGGATTTTCATAACGCCTCTCAAGATGGATGCAGCAGTATCAGATCACTGTATTAAAGCTCTTTTAAGTATCCCCACAAACACTGAAAAAGAACTGTACAAGTGGGATCCTGAGAGGATGGTTCCTGCTCTTCGTTTCCCATACACTGTCTCTTCAATAAACTGTCCTGGTTTGCAGCTGCTGGTCATAAATTTCACTACACAGCTTAGTCAGCAAAGGAGAAACAAGCATCTGCAAGGAAGTATAACAATTGTACTCAGCATATTCCTATCCAACACTTGATGGCTAGGAACAAACAGGGGCTTTTTTTATAGATTGCCTGCAAAGTACATGGCCTGTGTCCGTCATTTCTCTGCACCCCAGCAAAGGTCACTCTTAGGGGTCACTAGCACCACATTACTGACGTTCCTCAGAAGGGCAGGCAATTTCATTCTTCTGTCATAATAATTTAAAGTATTTACACACTGCACAGCCACTTTTTTACACAAACATATACTTACTGGTACATTCAAGAACGACATTTAAAAGGTTTTGCAAAGACTGACACAAGCATGAAAAAAAGTGTCTGCAGCCTTCTAAAAGACAGCCACTTGGAGGGCCTGTGAAAAAAAGTATTCCCTGTAAGCTTAAGTTCTCCCCAGAGACCATTCACTAGCTTCAAAATATCCACATGGCATTAACTAAAGCTCTCTGGGTGATGGCAGACTTCAAGAATGAACACATGTAAATAACATTTTCTCAAGAAATCCCACAGCAGGAACATGAAAATGGAAAACTCTTTAGGGGCATTACTACAATTCTGAAATATTATTTATCCGAGAGGCTCAAAACTGAATGCTAGTATACATATATATGTTTATACATACATATAGCATATATATGTATATACATACAGGATCCAGGGACAGAGAAAATTAACTAGTACATGGTGCCTGCCCAGTAAGTATGTGCACCACTGCAAGAAACACCAGGTTCATCAGCCGTTAAGAACTTTAAATTCAGAGCACTGATGAGGAAGTTCAGTGACACAAAATGGGGAGAAGCCTGTCACCATGAGGTGAAACTGCAGGAGCCATATTATCACACATATCATGAATACGTAAGTCTAACTCATCTGAAACAGCACCATCAGACAGCACAGACAGGACAATCTGCCTTAACTCAGTTCTGACTACTTTCATCTCAAGCATTCCCAGAATAACACCTGTATGCAGTTACCTATCCATAAAGTGAATTCACTAGTTTCTCTGAGAAAACTACTGTTGTCCTTACCAGTCAACAGTCCCTACCTAGCCAGAAGAGTCTCCATAAAAAATAGCGTTCATTGCATGAATAAACTCCATCTCCATCCACAAAGGCAAACACTAGCTCAAGTTTGCTTAACAAAGCCAAGTGCTATTTGAGTCTTATTCATATAGCGTGTCTAACATATCAGTCCAGTCTCAGATGAACAGCTTTAAGAGTGAAATAAGCCCATCTTGAAGTTGGGTTTACTGTAGCACGCATTAAAGCTTCCACTTCTTGCAGCAGACTAAGGCAATAAGTAAAAACAACCTTCAGGCCACCAAATCATTCTTCTCCTAGCTCCTCAGCAAAAGTAGTTAGAGCCTGTGGCCTCATTCCCCTCCCCCTTCTGAACATATAGACAGAATTAGCACCTAAGCAAGGGACAGAATTCAGGCTTGTGTTTTCTCCAGCCCATCTTGGAGAACAGCCTATCCCTCCTGGTTAGAGGCAGCTGCAATAGTTATATTACATGCTTACACGACTAGCCCATTAATGTCTTTTAAAATTATCTTTCTACTGGTTATGTAAAGCTACATAAGTCTCACTCCAACACATTCCTTTTTCTGCCTTTGAAACTGATGCCATGAAACTAGGAAATGGCAGAATTACAAAAAAGGTTCTGTAATTCATGTTATCCAAGATGGTCACCTGAGCTAATGGGAAACACTTCACTCTCTCCCCTCAAAGAAGGGACGCCATTTGTTTGAGGGACAGAATACAATTCCATTCTTAATGATTTTAACTAGTGAACCCATCAAATCACCCATGTCATTGCAGGACAAGAGAAGTGCTGTCTCTAGAGTAAGAGAAATGATAGAAAAAACCCACAAATTAATCCAGTTTAAAAAAATTGTTAAACCAAGTAGTACTTAGAGGGAGAACATGTTTATATGCATAATACACAGTTACTCAGATATACATACATAAATACATAATGTTTAAAAAATAAAGTGCTTTCCATCAGATCCCAATGCAGGAATATTATAAAACATTTTACCAACTGCAAAACAAATAGGTACAAAGAATACTACCTCAAACATACATGAAAACAGTTAACACAGTATGTACAATCTGGTGGGTGTCCCAAGACAAAACATCCCCTATTATACATGGTATATACATATATACTCATCTTTACTCAATATATTATTACAATATATATTTGAAAACTTTGTTATAGACAAAAAACCTAGAAGAACACAACAAGGATCAAGCACACAAGTCTAAGACTGACACAGAATTTGCTATCCTTGCCCACACCTCCACCTCCACTGCTGGGAAAGATATGCCAGTGCTCTTTTCTGGGGTGCAATGCCTCCACATCCTGCAAGGCACTGTGAGCAGCAGCTGTGAAGTTAGCATCACCAGTGGTGAGTAGGTCGAATACACATGAGTAAAAATAGATGTCCTTCACCAGCATCTTCTCATGACATTCGGTTGTGGCAGTTTCCAGTGTATATGCTAACCGTGGAGCAGCAGCACCACCCTGAGGGAGCAACTGCCCCATCACAGGCAATGGTAAGTGGCCACTATCATCAATACGTTCACTTGAAGGGCAACCGTTCACACACAGCTGCAGGTCCTGGCTCTCCTCATATGCCATGACCAACTCTTGAGGCATACGAATGGCCAATGTTAAGTAGTGCCCAAGCTGGCGTATATACACTGTGGTCCCAATATACTTGGCATGCATTTCGACGTATTTGCCACCAACTTTCTCCACAATTCGCAAGCTCTTGGTGTTCCCATCACCTCCACTTGTCGTACCATCAACAAAAGCTGCAGGCAAGTCATCAGTCACTGCTTGGTATACTTTCTGATCTGTACAGTCTTGGTATGACTTAAAGATAACAGTTATCTGGGTGGGAGGGGAAAAAAAAAAAATCAAAGTTAGTGGAAAAAAAACCCCCATCATTTCAATCCCTTTTCCACTTTGCAGCTGAACATATATGGGACTGACCGCTAGCTCAGAGCTTGATGATTGCCCCCAACTCATGCCTAAACAAAACCAGTCTGTATATATCCTTAAAGCAATATTTTACCAGATGGCGATTGTTAAATTTGTTCTTGAGTTGGCTTGGAAGGAAGACTATTAGCATGTGGCAAGAGCCACAAAGTCAGGAAAGGAAAAGGCTTTATATTTAATTAAGCATCACAACTCTCTCCTGCCTGATGGTTTCTTAACACTTTGCAGTCACAGAGAAGTGTAATTGCCAAGTAACTCCCACAATGCTAGCCACTGCAGCAAAATCAGAATGAGACTGTGAGAAATTATGGAAAGGTGCAAGAGAACTCGGCTTCCCCCACTCACGATAATCTCATCATTCCTTTTACAGTGACCATATGACCCTTGTTGCGATACCATACACTTGCTAGATGTGTTGCCAGGATTAGTTGTGTGAGAATATTTTAAAAGCAATGAGGCATTTAGTGCTTTATCAGCCATGAACACAACAAGCTGGGAGATGAGAGATGCATGACCAGGAAGAACAACTAGTTGAATAACTGCTTAGGGCTTTTGAATCCATTAGTTCTAGGAACTGGGAGATAGGACACTTCCAGTCCACTGTTGCTAGAAAATGTGTCCACGGAGAACCAAAGCAAGGCTGAAAGATACTTAAAGACATACCTTTGAAGAGTGACTTCCAACACAGAAACCAGGAGCATAAAGTAATTACTCATTCTTTTAAGATTACAACTGGCCTTTTAAACCTTTACACTTATTTGAATAAGCTACAACAGAAAGAGTAGATCCTCCAGTCCTACTTGAAGGGAATAAGTAGGCTATTTGGCAGACCAAGTTTGGAGTGCCTAGTGGCTTTTCCTAAAATAAAAAGTGTAATGAGGAATCACATGTAAATATTAGAAACAGATATGCTACTTCCTTTACAGTTTCAGAGGGGAGTGACTTCTTGAATAGGTCAAAGGGCATTTTGCACCAGGACTAGGTATTTAAATAATTATTTTAATCATTTACTGGTAACATCAAAATTACTTATAGTCTATGATTGAATCTTGCAGCACACTGCTTAAGAGTACTCCAAAACATATTAGAAGGCATCTTCAATCCAACATTACACTTTTACTTTAAAATCTACTCTATAGCAATCTCACATTTTACTTTCAGTTAATCAACACAATTCTGCACAACAGTTTTTGTTTCCTGCCCCTCTGGTTTGAAGAAAGAGACAGAGGTTAAATAAACATCTGATTACAGACAATCTGAATAAAAACTCTCATTAGACTCACCTCTCCATACCAGTTGTATAAAACAAAAGTCTTCCCTCCTCCCACTGCAACAATTCCTCCTTTGGAGTATGCAGACATACCCTAAACAGTATTACATTACTTTTCAATGTTTGGTTTGTCCCAGTTGGTTGATGCTCTTGTCAGTCTTTCTGTGTGTCTCACACACATGGATGACACTTGCTATTTCAATTTCATACGTTCCCCCTGGTGCTCTCTGACTGGAATTTTCCAATGTTTTTTCTCTGCATTAACCAGTTATACAGAGAGCTTGAGGCCACCTATAGTCAAGCAATTTGGTAAACTGATGTCTGTGAGCCACAGCTAAGCTTGAATGCCTATGCCCAAAATCCAGAAAAAGCACAAGTGCCCTTGTTATTTTACAGACCACCTCACAACTCTATGCTTAGTGAAGTAAGCTCAGCAACCCAAAGAGAAACCTGAGATGTGTCAAGTGATTAGTATTTCTGCATATAATCCAGAGCCTCAAGCAGTAAATCAGGTCTTATATTTTATATAACAGTTCCAATGAAACAGATTGGTATCTCAGCCCGCTCAAAGAAGCATTCCTACTTCCTCAAGCACATTTGCATTGCTCTGCAAGAAAAGAATGGAGATTCTCCTTAGCCCTCTTTTTGTTGCTAATGTGTTTATAGAAATATTGTTTACTCTCTTTTACTGTAGTAGCCAAACTTAAGTTCTAGCTGGGCTTTGGTCCTTCTATTTTTCTCCCTGCATAACCTCACCTTGTAGTCCTCCTGAGTTGCCTGCCCCTTCTTCCAAAGGTCATCAACTCCTTTTTTCCTCTGACTTCCAGCAAAAGCTCTCTGTTCAGCCAGACCAGTCTTTTTCCACACTGGCTCATCTTTCAGCATATGGGGACAGCCTTCTCCTGTGCCTTTAAGATCTCCTTCTTGAGGAATATCCAGCCTTCCCGGACTCCTCTGCCCTTCCGAACTGCCTACCAAGGAAGGGACTCTGTCAACCAGGCCCTTAAACAGGCCAAAGTCTGACTTCTCAAAGTCCAAGGCAGCAGTTCTGCTAGCCCCCTTCCTTACTTCTCTGAGAATCAAAAACTATCATTTTGTGATAGCTATGCCAAAGATGGTGTCCCAACATGACATCACCTGTAAGTCCTTCTCTGTTCACAAACAACAGGTCCAGGTGGAGCACTTTCCCTAGCTGGCTCACTCAGCAATTGTGTCAGGAAGCTATCTTCCACACACTCCAGGAACGTCCTTAGACTGTATTGTATTTAAAGTCCCCCATAAGAACAAGGGCTAGCAATCATGAGACTTCTCCCAGCTGCTTATACAATATTTCATCTGCCTCTTCACCCTGGTTGGGTGGTCTAAACAGCCTGCCACCATGATAGCTGCCTTATTGGCCTTTTCTTGGATTCTTACTCATAAACATTTAACTCTTTTATCACCATTGTCAAGCTCTAGACAGTCAAAACACTCCCTAACATACAGGGCAGTGTGAGGTTAATGATCCTAAAGGTCTTTTCCAACCTAAGTGATCGTATGATACTATGATGTCCTCCAACAAAACTGTAGTACGTACTACTTCTGAGAAAAAAAAGCCAAAATCATCTTTACCTTAAGCAGGATGCCCAAAAGATTAAAATACTAATCACACGTGATCAGTTATCTGATGCTCCTACTTAGAAGAACTACTGAACGGTAACGGAAAGACAAATGTTTTCGTGTTGATTAGAAGAGACTAAGTACACTGTGTTCAGTCTGCAACTATTTCCTGCAAAAATAGAAACCATGCCACAAAAGAGATACTTAGATGTTTTGACTCCAGGAAAAAGAACAATTATACCCAAAACTCCCCTACTCAGCTAATGCCACCAACTCCCAAGTTCAAAGCTTTATGCCCAGTAAATCCACTACAGTAAAAGCTCTATGGTTTTTCCCTTCTCTCTCGTTCCATTCACTCTCTCCCCCTCAAGCTACTCACTACAGAGCACCTGGATAGGAAAACTCCATTTCCAATTACTGCAAACAAAAAGGAAAGTTTTCCATAGGCAAGCCCAAGCATCTCTGCCTCATTTGCTATTCAGGGACAACTACACTGGCAATATCCTGAACACCTGTCACAGCAATGAAAGCCAATAGAGACTTTGTACCCCTCCAAATAAAGCACATAATAAATAATAATAAAAAAATCCCTTCTTCTTAATGCGTTCCACAATACCCTGCCCACATGTGCCCTCTACAGCCCCTTGTAACAGTTATTTATCCTCAGGAAATCCCAAAACAGCTCCCAAGACAGGGGAGCACTTTGTCTATAGCTGGAGAAATCAGACATAAAGATGCCAGTGACCTACCCAAAACTCATACAGGAAGTCAGAAAGAAAAAGAGAGATTGAACTCAGTTTCCCAGCTACTTGGTGAAGATCGTTCATTCTCCATTTGAAAGGCCCTAGGATCCCATGCCAAGGGGCATAAGCACATTAGACAAACTCAAAAAAATTGAGTTTCAAGTTTCAGCTAGACCACACAAAATAAAATAGCTTTGTTCACTGTGAAGAAACAGATGTTGTCACTATGGGCACCACAAAACACCTACAAACAAACTGCCAAGAGTATTTTGCGAATAAATGCACAACTCCCACACGAGGATGTGCCCTTCCAATTAAAGGCATTAAAGGAAGAGTTTTCCTGCTTTTCATACTTTCCTGCCATATGCACAGTGCACGGGTGGGGGAGACATACTTTTTTTCTTCACATTGTTTTTCACAATCTCCTCCTAGAGTTCTCTCGTCCTTTACAAACATATATGTCCTCTATGAACATACTGGATAACCCTCAGACTGTTGGGGTTACTCAAATCTTATAGGTTTTGGGGAGAGAAGGCAACTTACTTTACACACAATGTTCCCTTCATTGCTGGTTCCATTAAAGCTTGGTAGACCAGAAAGCTATGATAAATTTGAAGGTAATAACTACCTATAAGGCCAATTGATGGTACACCCCTTTCAAAAGTGCACTGCATATGGGGTGAAGATCAAATATCCTATTACTACAGCTTCTTAAATCACTTCCTCTAAAAAAGCACATTCAGGAGAAAGTATATTTTCTCTTTATGGCTTTGCTTTCATTATGTCTGTTTTAGAATGGATTTAGTAGGCTAGTTAGCAATTTAGTATTTGCTTTGGCTACTGCACAATTTAAGTTCAGCATAAACCTTTGTTATTGTTTCCCATTAAATTTCTATCTCAAATATATACAACAGAAAAGCAGCAAGACTAAAAATGGATGATGTTCTGGAAACTTTTCTTACAAAGAAGGTAGAAGACCTATTTGCATGCTCTCAGCTAGGGAAAAAAACACTACACAGATAAGTCACTGAACTTTTCTTGGTAGCTCTTTAGAGGTGCCTTAAGCTACTTTGTGGCCAAAATAGTAAAGTGCATCCAGAAGCAGTCAGTCCATCACCAGAACCAAAAGGGAATACTTGCAGAGAAAAATGTTAGAGGAATTAAACTAGCAGTGGCAGAGCAGGTTAACAAGTCTTTTCTGTTCCATAAAGAAATAAAGGAGTCAAGAGGGTGCATTAGATACTAAAACTTATCTTGCTACATCACTTGTACATTCAAATAACTTTCATTTCCTACAGACATGTGTGCTGATAAGTTTGATTATCTGCCAGAGAAAAAATAATTGAGGACTGTACTACCTGTAACAAATACTAGCATTAGCAACATTTCTAATATCCTAAAACATACACCTTATTCCATTTAACGGCTTCTACACACTTAGCTGCACTTGTGCAACAGCAGGCACGTTAAACCACTGTTATACAAGAGAAAAAAAGTATTACCACTTTTTCCAGAATGGCAAGTCAAAGAAAAACACAAGAACATTGAGAATAAATACAGACAGAAGGTACACCCTTTAAAACATGTACTTTCCCCCAGTACATACACACATTTATCTCCTGAAGTTCTCCTCTTGGTCATCTGTTTGAGAAGACATATTCCAGGATAACACACTACCATAGTCAATCATTCTCAGTATGTGGCTAAAGTGTGTACTACCATCACACCCTAGCCACTCACAGAATTTGTACACAAGAGGACTCTCAACTTTTTCCTCCAGTACTATCAGGAGCAAAGAACATTCTGCAAGACTTCAGCAAAACTGAGGATAAAAGCTTACTGCAGATTGTGAAATGCAGCTTTGTCTCGTACTTACTTAAGAATCTTTAAAAAAAGCCACTGGAGCAGATTTCAAGACACCCAAGTTTCTTCTGCAAAGCTTACCCAGATTGGCCTCATTCCCTGATTTTACACTCCTTCAGAACTCAATCATGATGCAGAGTGTTCTTGGAAAAGGCACAAGTTAAGAAAAGGTGATTCTGAACTTCAGTGATACATCAGCCCAACCTCTGGCTTCTGGCAAATGCAAAAATCTGCATCATTCATAGAAGCATTGGCATTAGTTAGTACCTCAGAATCCAGAACTAACGCAATAGGAGGACTGAGTTTCACTTATTAATATTACTGCACAGGCGTATCCATGGAAGATATGATGGCTCTAACCTCCTGTGACCAGCACCCCCTGCTCCTGGTAATTACCGTGGTAATAAAAACCTACTTCTGATCTTAACAAAACTGTGAAAATTCTCCAGTACCAGTGGTCTTGAAACTGTTTACACATAGCCCGACATGCCTTCACAATATAAGAGTTACACTACCACAGGTAAAAAAGGGTATTTCACTCCAAAAAGCGAATGAGATATGTGACAGCATCAGCTTCAAATATATGTTCAAGTAATTTATTTTATTGACAGAAAGATGCCCTCAAAAGTTCAGAACAGTTTTCACCCCTGGCTCTGGAGGTAATCTAAGAACATCTCAGCCAGGCTCATGCTTTATACCTTCTCTTTTTTCTTCCTACAAACACAGCTGCTATCTGCTTTCAGCAGAAAGAGACAAGTACTTTCATTAAAGTAAGGAAACGGCACAAGCTATCAATACTAGTGCATGTATTGTTTTTCTAGCCACCTCAAGTAGCTGAAACAAGAGCAGTCTTAAGTCTTGCCCATCTGAAAAGGGAGTTACACTCTCAGCAGAATTTTCAGGCTGCTGCTTCCTCAGTAAAGCCAGGGTGCTAAGACCTTCTGATGACTATTTGGCATCAATGTAATCTTTTTGCTACCTCTTCTCAATTCTCTCCAGTTCCCCTTTTTGTCTCTGCTCTGAACCCTCAGTGTCTTGGTTACCTGTTTGTTGTGCCACTCTGCCAATATTTTTTGTTTTCTACTGTTCCGGCTATACAATTTAGAGAATCAATGAAAAGCAGAGACTTACACT